AACCGATAAAGCCAACAGAACCGCATCATTGATTGAGTTAAATTACCTAAATGATTCTAAGCTGCTGCACTTGATGATACATCTGTGATGGTTTTAGTCCTGGTTGCCACTGGGAGCTAAAGGCTGAGCAGAGCTGTGCCTGTGCCAGCCTGGCTATGAAAAAAAGCAGTCTGCAGGAAGCTGATAAGGACTCTTTGTGACATCATCTTTGAAAGCAATTACTTTTACAAAATATTACATCGGCTTTAGACATTCAAGGACCAGACTGCATTTGAAGACAAAAACTATTCTGAAAGCCATGAGCAACAAAAAAACCCTTTTGTGGTGTACCTTCAATTCCCAGTCGGATCTTTTTCAGTCCTCTGTCCTTCAGCACCGACTTGGCCACGTCTCTGTTCTCGATGTACTTGAAGAAGCGGTAAAGTTTGGTGCTGTAGATGACTGCGGAAGACAAGAGATACATTCAAAATCGAACTAATGTGAAGTCAGCGCATTAAAATACGAAGCAAAACCGACAACTCTCCGAATGCACGACTTTCCTGCCCTATCTGAGACATTTAAAAGGTAAACAAGAAAAAGCCACACAAACAGAAAGTAAGCGGGAGCTGCGGGAAGTGTTCGTGCCACTGTGGCCTGCTTTCACACACCGAGGCACCTTAGCCTGGTTTCTGTAAAGTGGAGCACGGCCTCCAATCAGATTACTGTCACCCAGTTTTGAGGCTAACAAACCAGATCAGTGGAGCAGCAGGGTTCACTATGAAATCTTACTCTGCGAGTACTCCTCTCCCATCTGCGGTGGGTACTCTTCGTCCCAGTCCACCACATCGTCGTCAGTCAGCACCACCACGTGACACTCCCTCTCTCCGCTCTGGGCGCTGGCCACCATCAGCGGCAGCACCATCTCCTCCAGGTAACACTCAAACTGACGCCGGGCTCCGTCGTTGGACAGCTCGTGCATGAGGGCGCCTGAGGACGAACAGACCAGACGTCATTGTGGACAGAAAGCAGAAGCCAGAAACGATACTGAGCTGTGCTCTAATCAAAGCAAGTAGAAGACTTTAATTACTCCACATGAACGACTATCTGTATCAAACTTGTTACTGTATTGGATTAATAATAGAAACAGTCGAGACAC